TGCTGCAGCAGTGATAGTGCTGACCCTGTTCCTCCCGGGGACTCGGCAATGTCCATGACTGCGATCATGAACTACGGGCGCCAGGATGCCACCCACTTTCAAATGCCCAGTACAGCCCAGTGCAATGGAAGCATGTCACTGTGCTCCCGCAAGATGGTGTGGCAGGAGCACCCCAACACCACCCATGGTCTCTCCCAAACAGACTCCTTGGGGATGCAGTGATCTCAATGTTTGTCCCCCCTAAAATTCATACACTGAAATCCTAACCCCAAAGAGATAGGACCGCGAAGCAAAGCTTTTGGGGAGTGATTGTGTCCAAGGGGAGCGCCCTTCTAAAGGCCGCCCCTTACCATGGGAGGACACGGCGGGAGGGCGCTGTCTATGCCCCTGGGAGCAGGTCCTTGTAGACCCTGGGGCGGCCAACACCCCTTGGGCTGAGGCTCCCCAGCCCCCGCCACTGTAAGAAATCTGTTTCTGCTGCTTACAAGCCACTCCGTTTGTGATATGTTGCTACAGCAGCCTGAAGAGACTAACACAGACAGAAATAACCACTGCTTCATACGCTCTGAATGAGAGGAGGGAAGTTCTTAAAGATTAAAACAGGCGGTCATTACGCCTCCCATCCATACCATAAACCCCTGCCTCGAATCCTCTCACCTCGAACCAAGACTGGAGGCCCCGGTCACAGCTGCTCTAGTGTGACAGCAGCAACACTTTCCGGGCAATACGCACACTTCGCCACGAGGAACTCATCCAGCAGAACTTCAGGGCAGACAGGTCCAACTGAAAACCCCAATAAGCTCCAGGGACACAGCATTTTCTGAACACTAGGTCACGAGCGTTTTAGGAACGCAGGAAAGAAATACTCAAACACGCACACTGAATGTAAGATCTGCCCCATTCTTAGGGATGGTGCATGTGCCAAACCTACAGCCCGTATCAAGGGTCTGCTCGGGTGTACCATGTTTTTCTGGTAAACTAAAGTGTCTGCCTCTCAGACACTTCTGGGTCAGCACCAGCTTGGTTATTTACACACACAGGCCTACATTGTTTTCCCATCCTTGTAGGGAGCCGCTGAAGCTGCAGATTGGTCACACGTGTGGGGCTAAAGCAAGGCCAGCCCTGTAAACACGAGAGCCCAAAACAAGCCAGGTAAGCAAGCTGTTCCAGCTCCAAGCAGGCAAGGGGCCCAGGCGGGCCAGGCAGACAAGGTGCTGGGCAGTGGGCTGAAATTGACATGCTCCTCCTGAGTGTGTAAAGGAACCTCCCGCAGGGGCTGGGCAGTTCCTTCCCTCCCATCAGGAGGGGAGGCTCCTCCTGACCCCAGCTTTGTCTCTCCTGTATTTTCCCATCCTCTTAGGTCCTTCCCCCGGGAACATCTGGAGCTGCAGCCACCCACCACACATCCCCCCTGCTGCAGAGTGAGGTGGAGAAGCCTAAAGAGGACACAAGTACTGCCAGCTCTGCAGAAACCAGAATAAACTAATCCAGACCCCACAGTTCCCTTCTGTCTTCCTCTTGGAATTTCACCAGTCTTCACCTGTGAACTGAGTGCCATGAAGAGCTCTGTCCTTAGCCTCCTCTCAGGGTGGCTGTGAACCTGCTGTGTCTGCTGGTCACCATATAATCTGCCTGAGCCAACAGAATTTAAGATCCATGTGAGCAGGGATGTTTTCTCTCTTGCTTACTGGATGAATGAATGAATAGATGAATTTTTTGTCTCAGCCACTGTACAACTGCAAGCTCCTTTTACACAAATGACAGGAGAAGATAGGACTTCTTTCTTGCTATAAACCACTCAGGTTTTTCATTCATTTACCCTCTAACTGGTCCCTGCCACCTCTCTGGCTGTCCCTGGCCCCATAGGTCCTTGCTCTCCAGCAACAATGGCCTGAATTCGAGTCCTAAGGAGTGCCACACCACATCTGCTTTGCTGTCTTTAGCCAACTCTCCATCAAGGAGACAAGCACCTGTGATGAACCACCTTACAACGAGGAAAGCTTTATGGGGTTCACAGTTTCAGAAGTGCCAGTTGGTGCCACTGGCTTTGGGCCTTGGGCAGACAGCAAATCATGGGGGAAATGTAGTGGGAGAAGCCAGGAAGCAGAGAGAGAGGGAGGGGATGGGTGCCAACATCTCCTTCCGGGACACACCCTGGTGATCCAATGGTGATCCAATTTCTCCAAGAGGCCCCACCCCTTAAAGGTCCAACTACCCCCATAGCACTATGGGCTGGGGACCAGGCCTTCCACCCGTGAGCCCTCGGGGGACACCCAAGATCCACCCACAGCATCACTCTACTTAAAGCACGTACAAATCATGTACCCTGTCCCCTGTGAATACCCTGTCACCTAGCACATGCCTGCCACCAAGCCAGTGTTCAGTCAATCAACAGTGAGTGAATAAACAAATTATATTTCAAGGAACAGGGTCTGTTACCAAATGCATGAGTGCACGTTACACCCTAGCACTCTCCCCCAGGGCTCAGTCAACACTTCCCAGCTCACTGAGATCATCACAGATCTACTGCAAGCCACAACTACCCATCTCCACGACACTAAGAGGATTCCTCACAAGACTGCTGGGAAACCAACCGCTCTCTTACTATTCTTTTCCTACAAAATAACAGAAATGCAGTTTCAGTTTTCGCTGCATTTATTAGCTGTCTTTGCATTAGGCGCATGACTGAGTGAAAAATGGTTGACAGGAAATCAATGACTTGGAGGGTCCTGTTTGTCTCTGTGCCTGCATTGGACACATCTGGGAGCAGCCGTTAGCAGTCCCTGGATGGACGGCCTGTGCGCTCAGATGTGAGAAGCTCTGTCCATCAGACCCGGAATGAAGCGCCTTCCATTAGAGAAATAGGTGCCTTGTGCCAATGGAGAACTGAAAATAAAGGGTAGCGGACTCTTTCTTCATTCATTACTTTTAAAAGGAGGCAGAAAGAGGCTGTGAAAACTGCAGAAAAGTGTAATTCCGTGGGACGCCCTGTGACACAAAAGCTAGCCACCTGCAAAGCCCTGGTGAACAGGGTGGATCTCTGGGCGATGCAGACAGAACAATACTAACTACAAGGCCCTGATGAGAGATATCCAAGCATCAGGACGTCAGTAACGGTCGGAAACCTAGCATCTGCTTGCATGCTTCACTTTAAAAGAAATCTCTGCCACCAGGCAACAGTCTTTATTTGAGTGTGTGGATTTCTTACACAAATCCCAGGAAACACGGAGAGAACTTTCTGACTCTCACGATTCTGTGGGAAAGTCCCTGCTGGGCAACGATCCTCTGCTAAGAAGTTCGTCCCCTTGTCCGGCTTCCCCACCACTCTCCAGCCAGCAGCCACCCACTTGGGAGTGGCTTCTTCCCTGCGCCAGGGCACCTTGGGCACCTTCTCATCCACGTCTTCCTCCCTGGGTCTGACACAGACCTCAAGGGTGAGACCCTCCTCGGCCCACACATAAATGGGGATAAAGTGGAGCTTATTTAGGCTCGGTCTACCAGGAAATGGACAGCTGAGAATCCCCTGTCCCCAAGATCTCAGGCACAAGAGTGGGTGACGGGTGCTTGAGGAGGGGCACAAAAGACCAGAAGCCAGTAGCATCATCGTGATCCTCTACATCTTCACGTCAAAGAAAAGATTCCTACGCTGGGCATGCTTTGCTGTCTTTAGGCAAAAATGCACTTTCCTATGATGGTTTAGTTTGATGGCACAAAGAAGGCCACTGCCATATTAAGGTTACGGCGTTCATAGGTGTTCAACCAAACCACGAAGGAAGAAAGATCCCGGGCTCCCTGATCCCAAACCAGGTTGAACACAGTTATACCACGGCCTCCAAGAGAGGTGAAATTGGATGGAGGCGGCTCTCTACATCAACATGGGGAAAATACGTCTCAAATATTTCATTGCTGTTGAATAGATTAAAAGGTGTAACCTGTCACATTTGGAGTAAGTATCTTCACTTTCACTTTCTGGTTACAATCAGATAAGCCCCTCTGCTCATTTAATAAGCAAACCACAGAGAGCTATGGGGCGGGGTGGAGCGAAGCAAAGAGCAGGACATTAAAGTTTCATTTTGCATCAGCTTAGCTCCCTTCCCTGTCACATCAGCAGAATATAAAAAACAAAAACAAAGAAACAGGTCTTCTCCTGGCTTCTATTTATTTTATTTGTACCATCTGTTCCTTATACAAAGCTATGTGGCCGAAAGAGATTAGATTAATAGTCACGCTTGGCTTCCAACAGGCACAAAAATTATCGCTGGAGCCTAAGTCCTGCCACATTAGCTATAAATCTCTGCCGGCTCTCATCTGGGGCCATTAGCTTATTTGAAATCTTTCCAAGAAATTCATATAGCAGTAATTTTCCTTCCTGAAAAGCCAATTTCCTAAATATTCAGTGAGATGGCTTTTGAGACTCATACCAACAAATCAGGAAAGTAATAACGCTCTATCTCAACAGGAAATTCAGAACTACTGGTGCTGCTGCTCTAATGATACTATCACGGATTTTCAAAAGCATCACTGCTGGATTAGAAAGCATGCCGTCCTCTGGCCGCACAATATCCTCTTCAATTTCCCTCACCGAATGAGCAGCTTTGGAAAGCAGGGAAAAGCAGAGACCACCTTGGTTTCCAGGGAAAACAAGCCAGATATTAAGGTCATTATCATATCTCCTGTTTTGTTTTATTTTGTTTCTTTCCAATAAATCTCCTTAATACTTACACAAGGTTTGCATTTAATCAGTCACCACAGAAGAAAATGGGAATTTCTCTAAAAACCAGAATGGATGTGGAGCTTTTTGTTCAGTAACACATGAATCTGTCAAGAAATGCATATGGACACCCCATGGCATCACCGAGGTAAGCTACTATCTTCTCTGCACCAAATACAAAAACAGTCGCACAGCAACCTGACCAGGACAGAACACTGTCATCTTCTGAATCATGACTTGCACCATCAGATGCCCACGTTTTTCGAGAGGTTAAAAATTTACAACTCACAGTGTGCAGCCACGCAGCGCCTCGGGTCTCCAAGCCGTACTCTGTGTGGTGACAGCTTTCAGCAGCAGCAAGACAGCAGCCCTGCAACGAGAGCACGCGGCGTGAGCGCACTGCTCGAACACCCGACGCGGCAGGGAAGGGTGGAGGTGAGGCTGCTACTTCTACTCCTGCAGCTGCTTTTGCAAACAGGAAACAGGAAACAACCTACAAGAGCACGAGGAGATCTTAGCGTAATTGATGTCTGGCTCAAAGTATTCAGGGGTGAGTCTGGTACCACAGGGACAGGCACGGTCCTCTAAAGAACGGCAACCTGGCCCCAGAATTCAGAGCCTAAAGTGCTTTGAACAGATGCTGTGCAAAGCTGTTATTACTGCGGAAATGGCCTGAGTGACATTCGGGCCTGTGGTTTTAATTCCAGAAGAACTGTAAGCTTCATTATAAAACTTTATGCATATAAACATACACATATATACACACATATTTTATCTAAAATATAGAAATTATCTCAACACATTATATAATAAAGTAACTTAATTTCTTTAGGAATGGATATAGAAATCATCATTCAGGAATCTTTTGGATATAGTTAACAGAGACTCACAAATAAAAAAATCCTGGAAATTATTTGGTCCATTGGGCCGGGAGAGAATAAAACAAAAGTCGTCGGCTTTGGGAAGTCGAAGCTTGCTGCATCATTAATCCTCTGCAGGTGCGTTAGCCCTGCGGGTTGGATTCACCGTCAGCTGAGTCTTAGTCTCTTTCAGGTCACTACGATGCGATACCTGACGCCACATCCTAAAAGAGAGAGCCTGCTTTGGCTCATGGTCTCAAAAGCCTCATTCCAGGCAGGGACACAGCGGAGGAAAGCTGTTCACACCACGGTGGCCAGGAAGCAGAGGGAGCAGCTGAGCGCAGACACAGCCTGCAGGTCACAGTCCGGGACCTCCCTCTCAGACTGGGCTCCTCCCAAAGCACAGTAGCCATGGATTCGTCAGCAGTCAACGGGTACAGCACCCACAAGCCAGCCACCTTCCACAAGGCCACGAGGCTCTGAACACACGGCCCTTCAGGGGACTGAGGTCGTAGCATGCTGCTTCTTTCTTGGTACTGAAAAGAAGGGGCTGCAGCGGCAGCAGATCGATCACGTGTCCACCATCCCAGAGGACATCAGCCTCATAGCTGCCCCCCAAACAGTAATGAGGGCACTCAGAGCAACTGTCACTTCATCAGCCTCTAGGCTTTGGGGGTTACTGCGTAAGTGGCTTAAAATAACCCAGGGTTATTCCTGGAGGTGAATTTTGATGCAACCTTTGAAGAAGGGAAAAGGGGACTGGGACACTATGAAAATGGCTCAGCAAATGTCCACAGCAATGCTTGATCATAGCTCGAAGATTGATATTTGAAAAAGTGTTAGCCCCAAAACGTGAGTACGTGGGTTTTCAGAGGATGTCTGATGGAGAACGTGCCAAGGCTCAGTCAGTAGATCCTGGTTACCCACGGCTTTCGTCTAGCAGAGTCTCTGTCAGCTTCGGATTTGCTGTCCAGACCACTGCTAGGAATCCCCGCTTGTTCACGAGATGCACGGTATAGAGCTCGAATTACCCCTACATTGGATCTTCCATGAGCCAATCACAGCACCCTGCCCAGGGTGCGCAGGGACCCGACGGAAGCCAGGACAGCGGACAGACACTGCCAGCCTGCGCTTTCTCCTCCCAGAACCTTCTCTGTGTTCAGGCAGGAATCTTCCATGCTGCAGCTACAGCTGAGGATGGGGAGCAGGTGAGAGAATCTCAGCCCTGGAGCTGCAGTCCGGAGCCCCTGCACAGGGCTCCTGGAGACGCTCTTCAGGACGAATCTGGCCTCTCTCTCTCTCTCTCTCTCTCTCTGTCCCTCATCCTGCTTCTTCTTTGTGCCCGAAATGGGTTCCACACTGCTGGTGGAAAAGCTGCGTCTTGTAGTTGTGATGCTAACAAGCACGAAGACAAAGCTGCGTGTGGATAACCCTAACCTGAGCGCGGTCAGCCCAACACTGGGCTGCCTGTGACAGAGTGCATCCTACTCGGTTACACCACAATGCCAGGGTTCTTGTCACGGCCCCTGAACACAATCCTGAAGGCTGGATGTGACAGCACACACCTGTAATCCCAGCACACAGGAGGCTGAGGCAGGAGAGCTACTGAGATTTCAAGGCCAGCCTGGGCTATCTAGTGAGCTCAAGGCCAGTCTGAACTATGCGTGGGAGAGACCCTGTCTCAAAAAAAACCCAAAATGACTTCCTTACCAAGCAATGCTGATCAAGGATTCAGAGGCAAAGCTGGGGCTCTGAGTCCTCGGCCAGTGAGGGTTCCAGTCCACAGCACCGCCTTTCAATGGAGCCAGTGCTCAGAATACTACACAAACACACACTTTAAGTACATTTCCTTTCCAATCACAGCTGTTTAAATGCTCAGAGTTCTAAAGGTGGGCGGAGATTCACGTGGGAACCCAGCATTTGCAAAACGGCTACAGCAAAGGCCTGGGCCACAGCACAGGGACCCTCTGCCTTGTCCACAGACAGCTCTGAGGCTGCGTCGCCAAAGTCCAGCTGCGGATCAGGTTTTTCCCTGATTTTCCGCTCAGCTCTCGGAAGACAGCAGGCTCTCAGGAGCCACTTACTCAGCCAAGGGAACCACGCCCAGGGCCAGTTCCACTGTGGAAAGCCAAGCTTACACTTGTAGAGAGAAAAGCAACAGAAACAGCCTTCTGACCTCTGGCCGGGGAAGGGAGTAAACCGGTGCCTCCTCTCCCATTCGCCAAGACTCTGCTTTTAATTTTTAGCCCTACTTAACACAGATATAGAATAGAGCGACGCATCCGTGACTTGCTAATGATCATGCCCTCTTTTCCAGACCCCCAGAAGATGATGGTTCTCCCGAGACAGGGTCCAGCTTCCCTGGCGTCCTTTACGTCTTTTGGGGGAGACTTCTGACCCTGGTCAGCAGGGCCGCGCCCTCCGCAGCCTGCAGCAGGTGTAGGCAGGCAGATGTGCCGCCCTTCCATGTCCCTGAAGCATAAGCAATCAGAGTCTCGGGGAGAAAGGAGTTGGGGTAGGAAAAATAAATAGGGTAAAAAGGAGACGAGGAAAATCATAATTTTAAAAATAAAAACTACAGCTTTGGGGAAAAAACTAAAATACAATAAATACAAAATAAAACTAAAAGGTCCATCTGTGCCTTTTGCACGGCTTCAAGTCGGATCATTTGGGTAAAAAGCCAGGCAGGCAGGCAAGCCTCTTGAATTTTGAGGTCTGAGTTCTCCGCAGAGTTGAGATGTGAGTCGTTGGCAAATATTTTCTCCAGCCCACAGGCTGACTATCCCCCTCCTGACGGTTCTTCATAAAGTGAAGATTCTACATTTGAATGAAATTCAATGGTTTTCTTTTGCATATCATATTTAACAGATCTTCAGCGACCTATTATAGGTCATGAGGATTCTGCTATATTTTCTCTTAGAAGTTTTATAATTTTATGTTTTATATTTAAATCTTTGGTTCATTTGTATAAAGTGTGGAGATTTTTTTTTAGTTTTTGCTTTTATTGTTTAGTCATTGTTTTTGCTTTTATTTTTATCAATGGATATCCAATCGCTCCAGCACCAGTGTTTTAGAAGACTATTTTTCTTCTGCTGAATTGCTTTTACTCCACTGTCAAAACTCAGTTAACTGTAACAATTATGTATGACTTTCCACATTCTCTATTGTTTCATGGATTAGTCTGCCTCTCCCTCTGCAAACTCCAGGCTGGATTATTGCAGCTATATAAATCTTGAAATTAGGTTCAGTGATTCATTTTCAAAATTGTTACAAGCTTTCTTTTCTTTTCATATAAATATTTAAATGATCTTGCCTATATCTGCAAAACTCTTGCTAAGATTTTTTAATAAAAATTGTATTATCCTGAACTTGAGTGTTAATTGGGAAAGAGTTAACATCTATATCATCTTGTCTTTGAATCCATGAACATGGTATGTTTATGTAAATATTTTTTGATCCCTTTTGACATTTTATAGTTTTTACTGCATAAATCCTGTACAGTTTTGTAAGATACATAGGTTTTAGTGATTATAAATTATATTGTATATTTAATGTCAGTGTTCTTGTGTACATTAGTGGTATTTGGATGTATAGTTAATTTTTAAGGTTATGATATATTCGGCAACCTAACTGAATTCACTTATTAGTTCTGGAAGTTGTTTTATTTCTGTTTGTGTAGATTCCATTTCACTTTCCTAGCCAAGTCCCCTTCTATCTGCAAACAGGAACGGGTGTGTTTCTTTACTGACCTGCGTGATTTTTGCTCTTCTGACTTTTCATACTGTGTGAATTCCCCAGGAATGTGCTACACAGCCATGGAGAGAGGGACATTCTTGTTTTGTCCGCAACCTTGTGGAGAAAGGATTCACTCTTTCACTAGTTAAGACAGTGCTCGCTGCTGGTGGCTGGCAGATCTTCTTTGATCAGCTCAGGTTTCCATCTATCCTTACTTTTCTGAGAGTTTTTTTTTTATCATGAATGTTGTTGAATTTTATCAAATGATTTTTCGAGCATCGCTTGGTATGACTGTGATGTTTTTCTTGCATGCATAAGGTAGATGACAATCGATGATCTTTCAAATACTGAACTGGTTTTGCATCCCCAAAATAAACTCCACCTGGTTATGATTTAAAATTATGTATATTATTGATAATTATATATAAAGCGGTTATGATTGGTAAGTGTATAGTTGCTGAGTGCCATTTATCAAGGATTTTTCACACATATCTTCATGAAAATCAGTCTTTGCTTTTCTTCTGCTATAGTTTAGGTTTTCCAGTTTTGATATCACAGTAATAATAGCTTTGTAAGATAAACTGGGGAAATGTTTCATGTACTTCTGGGAGAGGTTGTAAAGTATTTCTATAAATTTTTTAAATGTTTGGTAGAATTCTCCAATGAAACTAGCTAGGCCTGGACTTTTTTTTACTAATTTTCTATTATTAGACTTCCTCGGTTGTAAGACTTATCTGGTATCTGTTTTACATTGTGTGAGTTTCAGTCCAGGCTT